TGCGGTGGTTAATGTACCAAAGTCTCCTAGAAGACAGTGGTCAGAGAACTTCCAAGATGCCCGGCTCGTCGTGCAGGGAGGGTGACACCGTCAAGAGGACACGGAAGTACCACGCCCCTTCCCCATACCTCACCATAGGTACCTCTCCACCCAAATCAAGATGGGAAGAACTGGCTACAGCAACACAAAGGAAAACCCAGACCCAGTTGTGGGAGTTAAGAATCCAGAAACATGATATCAAAAGTCCTGCAGACGCCCACGGTATAGACACCTCACACACACACCATAGAGGGAACGTCAATTTAAGGCATTAAACTGTCAACTTCTGACCTCTGCCCATGACATATCAGTCCCATGGCTTGTCCTGATGTTTGGATACAGTGTAAATGGGAATGACAAAGGATATCTCTGGAGACAAGGCCCTCTCTACCAGGGAACCCCTGCCAGGCTCCATGGCATCTCATCCTTTATGATCAAAAGAGCTGGGCACTAAGGTGGGGCCTGATTTAATGGAGCACGAACCATCCTGAGCATGTCCCTGTGGTAGGACACTCAGTTAACTGTCTGTACTACACCCCAGGAGAGAGAGGAAAACCTGCCAAACTTCTGATATACACTCGGATGAGAGAACCAGGGGATGAACTCACTCATCCTCCACCAAAAGAGGATGTGGAGGTGGTCCTGGAAGAGGGTGGGTCTCCAGCCAGAACCCAGGAAGATGCTGGGCTTGGTTTCCAAACTACAGGGTGGGTGCCATCCACCCTCCAATGAAGACACTGGAGTCGATTTCCCAACCACAAAACAGTCCAAGGTGAAAGATACTGGTAAGTTTTCCTCACCATGGGTGGTTGCTACCACAGCGTGAAGGTTTAACCACACTCCATGAAGATTCTGGAGGTGGTTTCCTAGCCACATTGTGAATGTTCAGCCACTCCCCTGAAGATGCTGGAGATGATTCCCCAACCACAGTTGTAAGGTTCAGCCACACCCCTTGAAGATGCTGGGCATGCTTCCCCAACCACAATGTAAAGGTTCAGCCATAGCCCCATGAAGATGATACAGTTGGTTGCCCAACCACAGAATGGGTGTACATTTATATTCCACGAAGATGCTGGAAGCAGTTTCCCAACCACAATGAGATGTTCAGCCACACGCCATGATCCTGGAGGTCATTTCCCAACCACAGTATGAAAGTTCAGCCACACCCCTCAAAGATGCTGGAGGTTTCCCAACCACCATGTGATGTTCAGCTACACCCCATGAAAACAGTGGAAATGGATTTCCAACCATCATAGTCAATGAAGATGGTATAGGTGGTTTCCTAACCACAATGTGAATGTTCAAACACACCTCATGATGATACTGGAGGTGCTTTCCCAGTAACAGTCTGAAGGTCCAGCCACACCCCATGATGACGACAGATGTGCTTTCCAAACTGCAGTGTGAGGGTCCAGGAACACCCCACGATGGTACTTGAGGTGCTTCCCCAACACAGTGTGAAGGTTCAGCCACAGCCCATGAAGATTCTGGAGGTTGTTTCCCAACTACAGTGTGAATGTTCAGCACACACTATGAAGATGATGAAGGATGTTTTTCAACCACAATATGAAGACTCACCTACATTTCATGAAGATGCTGGAGATGGTTTCTCAACTAGTGAGTATACTCTTGAGAAAGTGACCCAAACACATTGTGAATGTTCAGCCACAGTCCCTGAAGATCCTGGAAGTGGTTTCCCAACCACAGCATGAATGTTGAGTCACAGTCCATGAAGATTCTGGAGGTGGTGTCACAACACCCCATGATGACACTGAAAGTGCTTTCCCAACCACAATGGGCTAAGCCACTGCCCTTGAAGATGGTACATGCACTTTCCCAACCACATTGTGAATGTTCAGTCACACCCCAGGAAGATGCTGGAGGTAGTTCTCAACCACAATGTGAAGGCTCAGCCACACTTCATGAAAACACTAGAGTGGTTTCTTAACCAGTATGAAGGTTCATGAGTAGCCTAAGAACATTCTTGACTTGGTTTTCCAACCACAATGTGAGTGTCAAGCAATAACCCTTGAAGATACTGGAGGTGCTTTCCCAAACACAATGTAAAAGTTGGGTCACACCCCATGAAGATCCTCCAGGTGGTTTTCCCACCACAGTGTGAATGTTCAGTCACAGACCATGAAGATACTGGAGGGGCTTTCCCTACTACAGTGTGAATTTTCAGCCCCAGCCCATAAAGATGCTAAAGGTGGTTTCCTATCTACAATGTGAATATTTAATCACAAGCCACAAGTGATGCTGGATGTACTTTTCCAACCATGGTTTGAAGGTCCAGTCACAACCCATGATAGTGCTAGAGGTGCTTTCCAATTTAGTCTGAAGATCCAGCCATATCCTTAACAATTCTCAAGGTGCTTTCCCAACCAGAGTGAAGGCTCAGGCACAGCCCATAAAGACTCTGGAGGTGGCTTCCCAACCATGCTGTGAAGGTTCATTACAAACCCAGGAGGAACCTGGATGTGCTATCCCAACCACAGTGTGGAGGTCCAGCCACATGGTGTGAAGATGCTGGAGGTAGTTTCTCAACCACAGTATAAAAGTTCATTCACATTTCATCAAAATGCTGGAGGTGGTGTCGCAACCAATGTGAAGGTTCAGGAATAGCCTAAGAATAGTCTCGACTTGGTTTCCCAACCACAATGTGAAGGTCCAGCTATAATCCTTAAAAATGGTTGAGGTGCTTTCCTAATCACAGTATGAAAGTTGAGTCACACTCCACAATGATCCTGGAGGTGGTTTCCCAACCACCGTATGACTATTAAGCCATGGTCCATGAAGATGGTAAAGTGGTTTCCTAACCACGATGTGAATGTTCTGCCACACCCCATTATGATGCTGGAGGTGCTTTCCCAATCAGTCTCTAGGTCCAGCCACACCCAATGATGAAACTGGAGATGCTTTTCCAGTCATGGTGTGAATGTCCAGCTACAACCATGAAGATACTGTAGGTGCTTTCCCAACCACAGTGTGTAGGCTCAACTACATCCCATGAAGATTCTGGAGGTGCTTTCCCAACCAGAGTCTGAAGGTCCACCCCACATAATGCTCCTGAAACTTTCACAACCACAGTCCTTTGAAGGTCCAGCCTCACCCCTTGATGATGCTGGAGGTTCTTTCCCAACCACAGTGTGAAAGTTCAATCACAGCCCATGAAGATCCTTGAGGTGATCTCCCAACCACAGTGTGACTATTAAGCTACAGCCCACGAAGATGCTGAAGATGCTCTCCTACACACAATGTCAGTGTTCAACCATACTCCATGATGATCCTGGAGGTGCTTTCCCAACCACAAGGTGAAGGTTTAGCCATACCTCATCAGATTCCAGAGGTGATTTCCCAGCCACAGCTTGAATGTTTAGCCACTCCCCTTGAAAATGCTGGAGGTGCACTCCCAATCAGTGTGAAGGTCCAACCACACACCATGATGATGCTGGAGGTTCTTTCCCAACCACAATGTGAATATGCAGCCACATCCCATGAAGATGCTTGAGTTAGTTTCTCAAGCACAGTGTGAAGGTTCAGCTGCATTTTATGAAGATGCTGGAGTTGGTTTTCCAACCACGATGTGAATGTTCAACCACACTCCATGATGATACTAGAGGTGCTTTCCCAACCACAATGTGAAGGTTCAGCACACGCCATGAAGATTCTGGAGGCACTTTCCCAACTACAATTTGAATGTTCAGCCACAGCCCATGAGATGGCTTCCTAACCACAGTGTGAACGTTCAGCAACACCCCGTGACGATGCTAGAGGTTGTTTCCCAAGCACAATGTGAAGGTTCAGTCATATCCCATACATTCTGCAAGTGGTCTCCCAGCCACAGCTCCAATGTTCAGCCATATTCCATGATGAAACTGGAGGTAGTTTCCTAACTACAGTGAAAAGGTCAACCCGTGACGATGGCGGAGGTGCTTTCCCAGTGTGAAGATCCAGATGCATCTCATGAAGATGCTAGAGGTGCATTCCCAACCACAGCTTGAAGATTCGGCCACATCGCATGAAGACTCTGGAGGTCATTTCCCAACAATGAAGTTAATGTTCAGCCACATCCCATGAAGGTGTTGAAGTGGTTTTCCAAACACATGGTCGATTTCCATTCACATCCCTTAAAGATGGTGAATGCAGTTTCCCAACCACAATGTGATGTCCAGCTGCACCCCATCATGATAGAGGTGGTTTCCCAACCACAGTACGAATGTTCAGTGACACTTCATGAAGATGCTGGTGGTGGTTCCCCAACAATAGGGTGGATATCCAGCCTCTTCCCATGACAGAAATGGAGGTATTTTCACTTTGACAGGCTGTCATCCAGTCATCTCCCAAGAAGACTGTAGAGGTGGTTTCTCCACCACAGTTTAGATGTCCAGTCTAATCCCATGAAGATGCTGGAGGTGGTTTCATCACATGGTGGGTGTCCAGGCCCAATGCAGAACAGAATAGCACCATCCAGCTGAGAATGCAGCAGGGAGCCAGCAGCACACAAAGATCCCATAAAGATATATCACAACTTCGTCCCCGTGGTCTTCTTTGCAAAATGCTGAATGAGGACATTTCAGAAGCTTCAGAGAACTCAATATGAAAACAGATGAAGGGGCTTACCGCGTCCTGGGCACTTCCTTGCACTGGGAATTTACCACTACACATGCCTTGGCACCATCCCACCTTCTGTATTTGTCAGCTTGACTCTTTCAGCTCCCTTCCGGGCCTTGGGTTCTCAGTGTCCTGGGCTGGTGCTCTCTCCTAGCTAGCTCAGCTGCTGACTTACCTGGCACTGTGGCCGACCTATCCTGCTCGCTGCATTCAGCCTGAGCCTGCTGCCCCCAGGGCATGGCACATACCATGCCCAGGACAGGGCTCACGCTGGGATGTTAGAACCGAAGTGTGGGTACACAGGTGGCACAGGGACGCAGAGAGAGCTTAAAGAAGAAAGGACAACACAAGGCTTTTCTCTTTTAATTATTTACCAGATAAAAAAGAAAAAATAGTGATTGTTTCTCTTCACCCCCGTTTCCATTTACCAAAGTTCAGTGGGAAAGACGTTTGTTGAGCAGAGTTGTACTTGCAGCCCAGAGCCAAGTGCGCCCCTGCTCTGCAAAGCAGGAGGCGCAGGGCCGACTTCAGGCAGAATCCTTGGAGCTGGGCAGCAGACGGGCGGCATGGTTGTCACCGCTGCTTCTTGGCGGAGCACTCACACCCTTTCCTGCCTGCCCGCACACCCTCCTACGGTCCCTCAAAGGAAGTGGGAAGATGGGACTGCAGGAGGCAGGGAGGGGTTAAAGCAGGACCCAGGAAGCCTGTGGCACATCTGGCAGAAAGCCCCAGCCACCTGCTCCTATTGCACATCTCGGCTCAGGTCCCCCACCCTGAGCAGTGGGCGACACAGGAAATGATTTTCTGGTTCAAGCAGGGCCCCTGTCGGTGTGGGTCAGGCTCTCAAAGGGGAGGGAGGAGTCGTATTGTGTGGCTTGTTCTGGAATAAACATTTATGTATATAATTCCATGAGAGGGCAAGAAAAAAGCTTTGCCTCTTTCAAAAAGCACACGGGCTTTGGATGCCTTGGGGCCCTGCAGTCACCTGGGCCTTTCGAAACTCAAGTTCAAAAACCCAAGGACTCTTTCCAGCATCAGTAGATCTTCTGCATTAAGACGGAGGAGCAGCACCCACCGACCACACAAGTCCCCCTCTCAGCTGTCACGACCCTGAGCCACTCAGGGATGACCTCTGTTCTGAACATCTGGAGAATTTTTCATTCATGGGGAAAAATCTTGCACAGTTTCTCCACGAGGCAGCAGCTGTTAAGTCTCTTCGAATTTAACTTTTAAGGATATGATTCTTACTCTTCTCATTAGCAATGAAAATGGAGTTGGATGGGAAGTTGTTTAATGGACATTACAGACAGAATAAATCGCTCTAAAAAGTGGTGGGGCTGGGGGAGAGGACTGCCTGTGATTTGGCAAAGCTGCAAATTTTTCACCTTCACTGGCTGGAACAAAGCTGGTGGGTGAAGACAAACCTAACTGAGCCATTGGCAAGAACTGCAGGCTATGACAACAGGTCACACACAGGACTGTATAAATTGTGGCACTATCAGGAGAGAAAGGAGGTCCATGATACCGGCTGGGAGCACGCTTGGGGAGCACTGCTTCCAGAGAGTCTATCTGTCCTGCTGTGAGTGGCAGCATCCAGATATACCAGAATGATTCTCCTTCCTCCTCTTCCAACCAATTCTGAGCATTTCTTGTTTAAATAACTATGTACACACATGAGGCTGGTCTCTCTTTTACGTGAGGGTCCTTCACTTGAGCATCCTACAATGGCTTTAGAGAGTTGGTTCCAATAGCCTTTTTGGAGATTTACTGCTCGGGACCAAATCTGCAAGAAGAAACGACAGCACTGCAGCAGGAAGATCTTTATGAGAGAAGCATCCCAGTGTGTAAGGGACTGAGTTGTTTGTTTGTTTGTTTGTTTGAGACAGAGTCTCGCTATGTAGTTCAGGCTGGCCTTGAACTCATGGTGATCCTCCTGGCTCAGCCTCTTGAGTGCTGGGAAGGGACTGAATTTTAATTAAATTAAAATTCCTCATAGAGATTTGGTTCCCAGGCAGATCAAGCAGTAGGGCTGGAAACCATCCATTCTATGCCTGGCTTCTCAGTCAGCCAGAGGGCCCCAGGCCCACCACCAACCCTAAAAAATAGCCCATACCTGGCTCTGATAAAGACAGTTTCTCAAGTTCAGCTTCAAGTTCAGCATCGGAGATCCTAGGGTTAGGCACACTGTTGGTATAACATGGGGGTCTATCGGGCAGTTCCAAAGATTCTTTGGTGGTGTCCTGAAGGAGGATGTCCAACTCCTTCTCCAGTTCCTCACTGTCAAAATCTGGGAAGAAGCCACATAGGAACATATTAGCTTCAAGGAGGAAATGCATTAATGAGTCTAGAACTAGGGTTCTAGTTCTGCAATTTTTTGAAACCAACTCAGCTTTACAAAAGATGCCTCCTTGCAGGTTAAAAGAGTCACAAGTTAGGAAGCAAAGGGGACCTTCCAGCAGATCTTGGTCCATGCACACAGCCAGATCATCAAGGAGGTATATTCTGCTGACACCACTGAACGGACCGATTCCTTTTGCCCTAGAACCATGACGGGGGACCTATGGCACACACACTGCAATGAGCACATAGAGCCCTCTCTGTGATGACATCATGAGTTGTATGAGTTGTTTTTCCTAAACTAAAACCTCAGTGTTCAGGATAACTGCAGTGCTGGACTTCGTGATCAATAAGTGGGTTTGGGTTGCAGTTTGGGCATGTGGTCTCTAAAAAGGTTCACCACCATTGCCCTAGGAGAAGGATCGTTGGAGCACAGAGGGCCTTTGGGACAGTGGACCGAGACAGGAATGGCAATTCCCTCCACTGCTCCTGTGGGGGGTCCCCAGGGAGGGGCCTCCCACCTCAGGGAAGTCCATGATTAGACCTGTCTTGGCACAAGGAAGCGAGACCTCTTAGAAAGGAAGAAAAGGAAAAAGGAAGTGTCACCCTGGCAACTCACCTAAACCGTTGGTTACCCCACCAGTCAGAGTCTGAGAAACTTCATCCTGGGTGTCACACAGCTGTAAGAGACAAGTGGAAACCCTGAACTCGGAAACATCTCAGTCTTCAGAGGAACACAGTGTTACACACGTCTGAGAATCAGGGAAAGATCCTTCAAAGTCACAAGGTCAAGTCTGCGAAAGGTCATGTCTGTCCTCTGTGACTTGTGTGTGCATGTGTCCCTCCCTCCCCAGCCCCTTCTTGTACCTCCTGGATCTGATCCACAAGGCTCTCTGCCTTCTCCACTGTGACGTCCTTCATGGACAGCTTCAGAGCTCCTACCCCAGCTTGGTAGGCATTGAAAACCTAAAGAGAAGGCCCAGTTCTCAGTGCAAAGGACATTTCCAGAAAAATCCAGACAATCATGCTTTAACCCTAAAAGATAGCTCTGGGCAGCTTTGGGCACCCAAATCACACCCACAGGAGCCAAACTTCCCCCAGGAAATAAAGGCAGCCCAGCTACACCCTGAAAGCACCACGATCCTTCCCAACAGCACAGCCACAAGGCAATGAACCACAGAGTTGGGGGCACGGCTACCATCTGGTCGGTCTGGGAGGCATAGATGCGGTCCAGGATGCCTTGAACAGTGTCCAGCTTGGCGTGCAGGGCCTCAATGCGCTTCTCTGTCCGCTGCTTGGCCTTCAGAGACCTTAGTGCCTGGGGGTATGAAGGTTTAGATCAGGGCTGGACAGAGCTGGCCACAAAGCAAGAGGAAGGCAGCCCCTTCCAGGTGGTAAGACCACCCCAGAGCTTCCCTCTCCTATATAAAATAATTTGTTGCTAGACATGCTGGCATAGGCCTGTAATCCCAGCACTCAGGAGGCTGATGCAGGAGCACTGCTGCAAGTTTGTGGCCAGCCTGGACTATACAGTGAGTTCAAGATCAGAGGAACTCCATAGTGAGCCCGTCTTAAAATATAAAATAAAACAAAACAAGCTGTGGACTCTGAGCCACGGGTAGCCTCTGCTCCCCTGATGCCCAAGCAGGCCACTCTCGGAACTGCTGGGCACCCCTCCCCGCCAGCCCAGGACACTGCTACATTGCTACAGGGGAACACGGCTCACCAGCTGCTTCTTTCCTGCTCGGCAGGCCCGGCGCGCTTCCTCTTTACACCTGTCAACACAGATGCAGAGGACTGTGCCATCGGACGGGTGGCAGAGTCCCAAAGAGGCCCTGCGAATCACACTGAGTGAAAGTGGTCTGGGATCTGAAGATGGAACCCACCCCGCTCCATGGCAGGGCAAGGAATCAATCCCTCACCTCTGCAATGACCTTGGCCATCTACTGTCACCTTGTGACAGACATGCACTTTTCTCACTGAGAGGACAGTGGACAAGTTCCAATTTGCTGTCTGTCTGTCTGTCTGTCCTTTCAGAGACACATCTGTAGCTATTACCATGGACCCTGTGCAGGCACCCAGGGAAGAGCAGAGGTCCCTTGGAAAGACCCCTGCAAAGGCACCAAGGGCCCTGCTCACTGCAGCGTGCCCTGCCCCTAACATGATACTTGGCTCAACAAATGCTGGCTGAACAGACACTGCCACAGAAGAACAGAGATAACACGTTAGTAACTGTCGTCCCTGGGGGCAGAATCCACACGCTTGACTCCTCTGTGACACTCAGTGTTTTCTAAGGTTTCTGTACTGAGCAGTTCGTACTTCTGTAAACAGTTAGTACAGTTATTCCAGGGCTCTGCAGACAGCCTGCCGGGGAGCAGTTACCCACCTCTCGGCTTCCTGGGATAAGGACTCCACTTTGCGTGAGAGGAGCTGCTCACTCTGCATCAGCTGGTACACCCCGACATCCACGTCGTTGACCGGAGACACCTTCGCGTGCGGCCCCCGGGCAAACTTCACGATCTGTGGGACAGGGACAAGTCACTGCTGCACTTCCCCCAGGCCCAAGCGAACCACGGTGGGAAAGGAGCGCAAGAACGGGGCTCCTACCTTCTCCCCATTCTGCTCGAGGACCGTGACTCGCTTCTCCTTCTGCAGCTGCAGCAACACCAAGTAGAAGGTCCTCTCGTCCGGGCAGGAGCTGGCGCACAAGGTGCTCAGCTCGGACAGGGCCACCACGGGGTGGGAGGACAGGGGTGAGTGCTGGTACAGGCGATATATCTCCTCGGCCTTTTCCTGCAGGAAGGGCAAAGGGGCTCACAGGCCAGACCGCCACCACAGCAAGGGGTGAAACCAGGCCCTGAGCTTCAGAACCAGGCCCAGGCAAGGCAAGAGTCGGGGAGCAGAACCCCTTGCCTCCCTAAAGAGGTGGCTTTTAACAAAGGAAAAAGATCTGTGCTTTCTTCATACTATGCAGGTAAACTGGTGACTGTACGAAATGAGGGACAAGAAACGCCAGCTCCGTGCTCACAGGTCCACCCGGGACTTCCTGTGTGTGCCTCTCCCTGGCTGTGCTCCCTCGGGAGGAAGGAGGGGTGGGGTGTGGTGGGAAATGCCGTGAAGCAGAGCGGAGCCTGACTTCTGCTCCCCATGTGACCCTGCACCCATCCGGCTCACAGGGCCTCACCATCCCTCTCACAACTGGAAGAGCCATGTGGACGCGATGATACCTACGCTTCCTTCCCAGTCCAGTCTCTTCATTTCTAAGGCAACTGGTGAGACTGCGGACATGGATGCTACCGAGGTTATAAAGAGCAAAGTCTGTGATGAGCAGGAGGGCAGGGTTGGTGGGAAGCTAGGAAACAGAAGCTCCACGGCACCATGCCAGTTTCCCTCAGATGTGGAAATCACCTTTGCAGTCAGATATCCACTGAGGTAGGCACAGGGTGCTACGAGAATGCACAGAAGGAAACCTGAGCATTCAGAGGTTCCTTTACAAAGTCTGGACTAGGAGTGCTTAACTCAGGGTTGAAGCAGGAGCAGCAGGTGCAAG